TTTTTTTTTTTTTTTTTTTTTTTTTTTGAGACAGGGTTTCTCTGTGTACTCTGGCTGTCATGGAACTCGATCTGTAGACCAGGCTGGCCTCAAATTCACAGAGATCTGCCTATGTCTTCAGGGATTAAAGATGTGCACCACTAATCAGCCTCTCTCTCTCTCTCTCTCTCTCTCTCTCTCTCTCTCTCTCTCTCTCTGTCTCTCTCAAGACAAGGTTTCAGGCCGGGTGTTGGTGACACATGCCTTTAATTCCCCAGCTCTTGGGAGGCAGAGGCAGGCAGATCTTTGTGAGTTTGAGGCCAGCCTGGTCTACAGAGTGCGTTCCAGGAGGACAGGTTCCAAAACAATACAGAGAAACCCTGTCTTGAAAAACCAAAAAAAAAAAAAAAAAAAAAAAAAAAAAAAACCACCACCACCACCACCAAAAAAACACAAACAAACAAACAAACAAAAAACCCAAAAGACAAGGTCTCAATAGCCCTGGATGTCCTGGAATTCTCTCTACTAAGCTGGTCTTTGAACTCAAGAGATCTGCCAGTCTTGCTTCCCAAGAGCTGGGATTAAAGGTGTGCACCACCATGTCTGGTCTTTCTCCTTTTTATCACTGGGTCTAGTGTGTTGCTCTGGCCAGCCTCAAACTCCTGAATCTAAGTGATTCTCCTGATTCAGTCTCTGGGACAAAGGTGCTCTGCTGAAATGTTAGGTCTTTATTTGGGAGCCCTTTCCAGACAGTTTTACATATATAACCTAGGTTGGCCTTGATCTGGATATGTAGCCAGCCCAGGCTGGCCCCAAGCTCATAGTCATCTTCTTGTACTGCTATACCTAGTGTAAACTTTGACCTTAAATGTGCCGGGACACATGGACGGCTTTAGGGTGGAGGTAGGCTCGAGCAGCCTGGTCTGGAAGAAGGGAAGCAGGTTGGTGGATTGTTGTGAAGAAGTCAAAATTTCAGAATGACTCCTGATTAGAGGGAGTAGAACACACACGAGAAAGCCTCCACCCTTGTAACAGTGGCTGGGAGAGTTCCTGCACTTGGGGCTGAATGCAGGCAGAAGCAAAGGCTGGTATGAGGACAGGGCACGGCTTCATCTTATCCAGGGCTTTTCCAAATGCCTGCTGGTGTTCAGGACTCACCGAGGAAGTGAAATGGCAGTCACATCTTTTGTAAGAAGATTGTCATAAATTACAGTTATGCACATTAAAACGCTATCCTTAGGACCTACAATTCAATCAATAGAGCACTTAGAGGCACGAATAGACTCAGAAGTGGTTTTGTCCTGGAGGAGTGGGAATGGCACAGGAGAAACAAGAGACGGGCTTTCCTTTTCAATAAACTTTTCAAAACTTATACTGTTTTGGAGACTCTCGGAGAGACGACTCCGTGGTCAGGAACTCTTGCTCTTTCAGAGGATCTTGCTTGGGTTTCCGTGTACCCACATGGCAGCTTACAGCGCAGTTCCTAAGTGCAGTTCCAGGGAATCCAGAGCCCTATTCTGCTCTCTGCGAGCACCAGGCACACATGTCCATGTAGGCAAAACACTCATACACATAAAATAAGCTTGAAATCAAATTACAGTTTTTGAAACAGTGACCGTATTTAAAAAAAAATACAACACTCACCTTTGCTCTGTTTATAGTCTCCCTATTTTTGTTTGGCTTTCTTGTATGTGATGGTGGTGATAGATAAAATTTATTATGAAATTCCTAACTTGGAAAATCCATCCAAAGCACGCAGGCAGAGTGGGAAAGTGGAGCGGCCAGGTCCGAGCGCCTGCGGCCCCGAGGATGGCCGGCAGGGGTCAGGCGAGCTCCACGCAGCGCCAGAGCAGGTCCCGCTAGTCATCGTTGCGCTAGGCGCTTCGAAGAGCTTTGAGGCGGGAGGCTGAAAGAGAGCATTTTGGATCGCTGCCGTAGGCTGCGCATCGCGACTGAAGACCATCCAGGCCGAGGGCCCAACTCCCACCAGGGAACGCGATGTGCTAGGAGCTCCCCCTAACTCCGCAAGGGGCGGCTTTACACGGCCTCTGGCTCCACCCAGCCTCTTCGGCGTCGGGGCGTGGCTGGCTCACCCTTGATCCCTAGGTTTAAGTAACTCACCTTGCAGAGCTTTGCATGTGGGCCTTAAGCAATCTGGCCTCCACCACCCATTTGTTTGCAAAGGTCAGGGAAGGAGTTGATGTGCGAAGTGAAGCAATATTACAGACTTAATGGACTCCTACTTCGTTATAGGGTTAAGCTTCTTGTCTCTGGGGAGAAACTCCCTCCAGGCCCAAGTTGGTTTGTTGTAAAACTCTGTGGCTGCCTTAGCCCAGGGTCACTCCCCAGGGGACCCAGGTGTCTATATTTGCATGTCACTAGATTTGATAAGGAGCATGACCAGACCACACTTAACACATCTCATTACCTTCCACCACCCCCCACTCCCACCCCATCCCCCACTTCCCAATCCACTTTTCAGGCTACATAGTTTGTTTTGTCTTTATTTTAAAATGTTTCTTGTGTACATCATATATAAAAAAAGAGGAAAACAATCACATTCTTCCTTTCTGTTGCTATAGCTGGATGCAAACAGATTGGGTAATTATAGAGATTTAGCCGGAGGGTCCAGAAGCGCTGACACTCCCATCTCCAGTATTTTCTGTTGTATCATAACATGGCTGGGACCTCACATGACAGGCATGCTTAAGACTCTTATAAAGTCACTAAAGTCAAGAGGGTCCTACTACCCAAGCCATTAACAGATGGCTGGGATTCTCCTGACTCTGCCTCCCCAGTGCTGGGAAGGGATTAAGGCTTTTTAACAAGTGTAATTCTGAGGATACTCTCAAGTTGGTAGAGTCCCAGTAGGCATGGCTGGGTTACATATTTCATTCTGCTAACTTGTGGAGGTTAGAGGACAACTTGAGAGTCAGTTCTATCTATCACATGGGTTCTAGGACTGCAACTCAGATTGTCAGGCTTGAAGGCAAGCCATCTTGCAGGCTTGCAGGTCCCCTGACACATTTTGAACATCTTGTATGGGTCATTCCAGTGATCTGCCTCGGGTGACCACCTGCATGCATGAATATGGCACGACCCAGAGCAGCTAAATGAAGGGGCAGCCATGAGCTCTGGATCCTCCCTTAAGACGGGACTGGATTGGGCTTGGAAAGGTGCTACTCCACCTGTCTCGAGCCTCAATATTCAGCTGTAGGTCTAGACCAAGCACTGCTGGACTGGGACCCATGAAAACCAGTTTCACTTTTGGGGACTGAGGAGCGGACAACTCAGATGCTCTACCTGGCCCCAGGTTGGGATGTTCAGGACACTCTTGTTTTTGCTACTGGACCATCTGGATCCTAGATTCAATTCTGACCTTGAAAAAGTCAAGTTATCTGGATATTAAAAAACAAAACAAAACCACCCTCAGAGATTGGGCTGGGCATGGTGGTGGCACATTCTTTTAATTCCAGAATTTGGGAGACAGAGGTAGAAGTATCTCTTGAATTCAAGGCCAGTCAGGGCTATATATTGAGACAAAACAAAACTCCGAAATATGCGAGGTGTGTTCATGCCTGTAATTTTGGCACTAAGGAGGCAGAGGCAGGCTAGACTCTGTCTCAAAAGCAAAGAATTCTTAAGGACTGTCTCCAGAAGCTTAATAAGTTTCCTTCTGCCTTTCCACACTCGACCCCTCCATTTCCTTCAAGAGAAAACACATGGAGGTACATGGGGCTCATGCCTATAATCCCAGCACTTGAGGTAGGGGCAGATCAAGATCTTAGTTCAAGGCCAGTCTGGGCTACAGAGAGCCCCAAATAAAACCACGGAGAAGTCGGTAGGGGAGGGAGGAGACAGGAGACTTAGTGCTCCAGTGTATGCCTAGCACACTCTAGGTTCAACCTCAGCACCAAAAGAAAAGGACAAGTCACTGGGAGATTTGGGCCTGAGGCTTTGCATTCTAGCCTCCTGTCCCATTACCAGAGGACGGGAGTGAAGGGCGGGACTCTTCAAGGACGCTCAGGATGCAGACAGAGGGCACAGCAAGTGGCTTGCCTCTCCTCCAGAACATGGCTTTGGGAGTGGAAGGGTTCCATTTGCAGCACGTTTAATACAAAATGGCAGCAGCCGTGCAGTTGTAACAAAATTAGCCACAGGGTGTCTAGAGAAATGCACACAGGCAGAGACTGGAGTTGAGCCAGGCAATGCAGGCTGGCCACAGGGCCTGTGCCTGCTGCCAGGTCAGCAGCAGAAGGTCACATGAGCAGACCCAGTGCTAGCCTGTGACAGAGTGACGCCGTCAGTTTAGGTACACCAGGGAGGCCAGCAAGAGACAATCTTCTTTGCTGCCTGGCTAGGCCAGGACTCTTGTCCTTCCATAGGTCTGCCACATAGACATTCTGGACCATAGGGAAACATCTAGCAAGGACAAGGTTTTTGATTTTTCAAGAAAAGAGATTATTAAAAATATTGAAAGCAGCTTCCACTACACGAGTGGAAAGGGCTCCCTGCCAGAGGCTTGCCCAAGAAAAGGCGTTGGGTACCTGCATCTTCCCAGGTACCATCCCAGAGGGTGAAAACATTAAATTTAGAAGTGGAGAGTAATGGCACAGTCACGGAAGCCCCCCACAAGCCCCAGAAAAACCAAAGTCCTTTTTGCAGTCCATTTTAAACTTTCCTGACTGACTGACTGGCTGACTGGCTGACTGGCGGAT